AGGGTGTCAGAGCCCCTGGGTCTGTACTTACAGACAGTTGTAAGCTGCCCTGTGAGTTCTAGGCGTCAGATGTGGGTCCTCGGAGAGAGCAGCCTGTGCTCTTAACTGTGGAGTCATCTCCCTGGCCCCCTTAAAGTGCCAATTATTTATACAGCCAATAATCCCCTCCACAATCTTCCAACCTCCCCCTCAAAATGCCATGGGTTGCGAGTTGTACCTGGCTGCCTCCACCTAAGGTGACCTTGTCCTTCTCTGACTCCGCCTTTTCCTCCTGTGCATTCCAAAGGGGACCTAGGCTTTGGCCGTGGACGATACCCTTAGAAAGAATACGGACACCTCCTGAGGAATGGCGAACAGAGAGCACAGCTCCGCCACCTTCTGTGGAACCCATCCTGCAGAGGAAAGCCTCAGATTCTCGTGACTCCGCTACCCACTTTCCCTGAGTTGCCTCTCGTTGCTGTTAATCCCTGAGTTTAAGGGTCTATCTCTGACTTATCAGGCAGCGGACAGTGCTCTCCTGGTCGTGTTTCTGGCCAAGGACAGATCAAGAGAGGATAGTCTTATTCAGAAAGAAGGAGCAGAGGCAGGACTCCCTGACCTTGAACAACCTGGGAGACACCCCAGGCCCCAGGGAGAGACCCAGTCACCTCTGCTAGCGCTAACAGAAGGAATGGTTCTACTGTGTGGGAGTGAGCCTCTTAAGACCCTTTGAGAAAAGGGCTTCACCTCGGGAGAGGGCTTTGTTTGCCTGTGCTGAGGTCTCAGGATGGATGAGCTCACAGCTGGATTCCAATTTCCTAGTGACAGGAGAAGCCTACCCAGGTCTCCCTGGCTGGTTGCCCTCGGCAGGCAGATAATTTATGCATGCTGTTCTGCTCTTTGGGAGAGTTCCTTAAATAGCAAGGAAAGAACCTTGTGGATTCCAGTGGGGCGTCCAGCCCACACAGCTCCAGAGGGGAGGAAGGCAGGCTGTCTTCACAGCATCTCTGCCGTCACTGCTGGGGCTCCCCGGGGCGTCCCTGAGAGCTGGCAGGCAAGCACTGAAGGCCCAAGCTCCTGTTTCACTCCGGTAAACCCCGCTAGGCCAGACTATCTGGATTCACTGTCAGCCCTTATTGTTCCTGGTTAAGCAGACAGGAGAGGCAGGAAACAGAATCAGCCCCAGGGAAGCACAGCAAGAGCTCCAGGCTTGGCATGGGTGAGCTGTCCTGGGTCAGATGAGATCCCACTGGGCAATTCTGAGGCCGGCTAGATACACCATGTTCATCAGCCCTGGCTCTAGAGATGGTGGGAGTAGGAGAGGCTCCACAGCCTCCTTCCCGCGGTATGCCTGCTGTTATTCACAGCACTGTGCCAGCCCGAGTTACATACGGCCTGCAGGCACCTCCACTGTACACGGTCCCCCCCCCCCCCCCAGCAAACCAGGGCGGCTGCCAGCTTCCTTGGGAGCAGCAGGATGTGGGATTTCTCTGCCCCCTCCCCCGCCTCCGTGGTGCCACAGAAACTAGCAAGAACACACGTGGGCTCGTGGAAGCATGAGCTCCTCTGCTGAAGCCCACGGTCCACCTGCCTACTGGACTTTAAGCCAAATTTAACTGCACCCTGCTTCTTGAGAGTGACAGACTTGTCTATCCCTCAGCAGTCACCTGACTGGGAACCTTAATCTTGGGCATCCCCTGAAACCGTGTCCACTGGCTTCTCTTCCCAAGCAGTTCCAGACTGGAGGCTCGCTCACCAAGAACTGTAGAGGTCCTGGAGCTGTGTCTGTACTGTGTGGCTCATACTGGTCCGTAAGCAACCATCACTCGGGAGCCCGGGAGAACCATGCCTTTCCAGACTTTGAAGAAGTCTCCATCCCTTGGGTCTTCCTTCCCTACAAGCTCATCCTGACTTCTCTTACTCAGCCAAGCTTAAATGATGGTGAAAATTGGTTTGTCTCATAACAGGCACCAGCTATGACCCTTCTCAGGAGCACTTGGGACTTGTATGATTTAGGCTCAAAGAAAAATATTTTTTTTTGTTGTGCATGCAGTGTATGTATGTGTGTGTGTGTGTGTTATGTGTATGTATATGTGCATTTGGGTGCATGTCCATGTGTGTACACACATGTGAAGACTATAGGTCAATGCTGAGTGTCTTTTGCAAACTTCCCAGCTTATTTTTTGAGATAGGGTCTGTTAAAAATGCTGCAAGATCCCCAGCAGCAGTAGGCAGCAGGCCCACAGAACAGCTAGTCCCAGGCAGGGATGGTAGTAGCTGGTCCCAGGCAGGGAGACACATGGCGGGCAGGCTGGTCCCTGCGAGCCTGGGGGTGTGAGCAGGCAGCAGGTAGAAGGCACATGGACAGACACATCGTGCAGAATAGAATTGGATATTTATTACTTGGGGTGGGAGAAGGAGAAGAGGAAGAGAGAGACAGAGAAAAGGGAGCCCGAGAGAGGGAGCATACACCAAAAGGGAACAGTGAGAATCAAGATGGCCAGAGAAGGGCAGTAGTCCCCGGGAGTGGGCGTGGCTTGTCTCTTAAAGTGACAATTAACCATAACAGGGTCCCTCACTGAACCTCAAGCTCACCAATTCAGCTAGGCTGACTAACTAGTGAGCTCCAGGGATCTTCCCATCTCCATCCCCAGCACTGAGGTGACAGGCACATGCTTGTCTTTGTATATGGCTGACAAGGATCCTAACTCAGGTCCCCGTAATTGTGTGGCAAGCACTTTGCCACCTGCACCATCTCTGCAGCCCTGCAGAAGTCTTGTTGTGGTTGACTGGCTGCGGTTCCTTAAGCTACACTCAATAAAAACAGCCTTAATAAAAACCGCCGCTGTGGCATACAGAGCCTAGGCGATGGGGTGGGATCAGCAAGCCATCGGGACGAAAGCCAAAGAGGCTGCAGGCTGAGGATGTCTATACAGAGAGAAATGCCAGGCAGGCAGTCCCAGGAGATTCTGCTGCTCTGAGCCAACGGCCAAGGAATGGCTGTGTGTGTCGTGCAGGTGGAGCTTAGGTGTCCCAGGACATAAGAACTGGAGCGTCACTGCAGCTTCTGGATAGGCTCCTCCAGTCCCCTCAGTTGCCAACCATCACATCCTCTGGTCTCTTGTTTCGTCGTCTTTCCTTTCAATAATGTTTAACAACTAAATTCACGTGGTCAGACCAGAATCTCTTTCACTGTAGCTCCCCCTTGTTTGCCCCATAAGTACTCAATGGACACATATTCCGCTGAACAATAGCTGCTAGGTGGCTTGTGGGAACCAGGCTCAGTAATGGGGCAGGGGGGAGGGTGTGTTATGACGGTGAGTGTCTCAACCTGCTAGAAGGAAAGGCCTGTCCCTTCTGGCTACTAGAAGAGACAGCAGACCGGTCTGAGGACAGCCTCCGGCATGAGGAACCCTCGCAGAAAGTCTTTGGTTTTTAAGGGATTCATAGATCAGGTGTGCCTTTCCTAAATAAATCCAGACCCACTGCCCTCAGACCTGTTGTCTGATTGAAACTCTGCATTATCATCTGCGTTCTGGGCCAGAGGAATAGTTGGAGAGAAGCAGAAGGAGGTGAGACGTGCGTGAGCGAAGTGCCCCACTCACCCCGGGTCCCAGTGCACTGCTCAGCTGAGCAGGGCTGGTGTGTGAAAATGTGGACTGAGGCGTTGAAGGGCGACCCTGTATTCCCTGCCAAGCATCCTCATGATTCCTCGGGAAACAACAAGTCCCCTTCAGGTACCTAATTCCTAAAAGGCAAAATGTAGAAAGGGACCCGTAGTTCCTACCGGCGTGTTAATAAGTGCTGACCACCCCCCCCACACACACACACACCACCCTCTCTTTTGTGGAAAGCATACTGCCCACGCTAGATTGTGTCTTGGTGTTGAACTATTTTCTCTGAATAGAAACAGAGAGCCTCAGGAAGTTACCCAAAGTTAAAAGTCTCAGGACACTCAGAAAGTTAAAAGGGGTCACAAGGCCCTTTCCAAGGTTATAAAAGCAGTAAGCAGTTGCTGGGGAGAAATTCTCTTCCGGGGAGCTGCCTGCAATTTAGATAGGTGCTATAGGAATTCCTCCCACCAGTAGCCTTTAAGTTACCTGCCCACTTGGGCGTGGCCTCTTATACTATTTATGTCGATATAAAGCATGCTTCGGGCCTCTTTTCTGGGCTGCAGGATTCAGTTGCTGTTCCCCATTCCAGCAGATGACTGTAATCTGTGAGTCTACCCCTAAATAAATAACCCTCTCTTATTCTCAGTTCTGAGCTAGTGTGGGATTTCTTTTAAGCATCCTTCTTCAGGTAGGGGTTGCAAAGGATGCTGCTTTCGTGAGTCATCCATTGCCCATGCTTATTTGGTGATACCGCAACCGTGGAGTGACTTATGCCACTGTAAGTTACTCCAGTAAACTCATTGGCTCACCACACCGGGCGTGGGTGGGACCATTTCCTTAATCTGTCATCAGTGCCTTACCTGGGACTGATGTTTGTTCTTGTCTCTCCAGGAAGAGTCGCAAGACACCTAGGAAACCACACGTGCTGGCATCTGGTCTCTTACTGACGTGATCTCAAATTGTTTGCGCATATCTCAATCTTGGGGTGGGGGGCTACCACTCATTCCTCGGTGTGACAGAAAATCAAATGACTTAAAGTCAACAAGTGAATGTACCCAACAAACGAGTGCAAAGACTAAGAAACCCTTAGGAATGTAAGCGTGTAGGTGGCATTTAGCTTTCCCTCTGCTAAAGCCTTGCTGTGTGCTCTAAGCTGAAGAGCAAAACAGGGGTAGCAGAGCTTTGAGGAGTGCAGGGAGACTTCTAAGGATCCTCATCTCCATTCGTCTGCTTCTCCCGGCCCTCATTCCTCGGGTCTCTACACAATGCGATGCCCTGTCACCACGAGGAGCCAGCTGTATTTCTCAGAGAGAGCTGGAAGTTTCCGATGAATGGCAATATGTTTCATGCTACGTTTAACAATGAGCCCCAGTGTATCCTCTGAGTAATGAATCCCTCTCCCCGCAGGCACAGAAGACACACAAGAAGGTCCCCAAGTGTAGCCGAGCGCACCGCTCCGAGAAGAAGCCTCGTTCCACTCCGTCTACAACCATCGACACACCGAGCACAGCACAGGACAGCAGCAAGACAGCCCTGCAGAGCAGCCCCTTCCTGGGGCCTAGCCAGGTGACCCTGCCTCCCAGGAACAAGCACGAGTGTACCCCACAGTCAAGTAACTTCAGCCATGCCCGGTCTTTCCAGAGAAGCAAGTCTTTGTTTTGTTTGCCCAGTGGAGGCCCCTCTCCCGCTGAACCACAGCCTCTCCTGACTGGTTCCCAGAGACACAGTGCCTCAGAGTGGAGGCCCGGCCACCTCCTGTCCGTTGATGACTTAGAGGGGGCCCAGGAGACAGATGTGGACACGGGCCTGCGGCTGTCCTCTTCAGACCTGTCTGTGGTCTCTGCGTATTCCGCACCCAGTAGGTTTTGCAACACAGTGGAGTCTTCCCTCCCCTCCAAAAGATGTAGCAGCCACTGGCCAGCACCCAAGAGTCCCAAGGAAGGACCACTGCCTGCTGCCGCCAGTGAGGTGAGCCCAGCCTCCTCCTTGGATTCCCACCCTGAATTCACCAAAGGGTCTCCCAGTCCTACAGAAAAAGCTACTGCTGCCCTCTCCACTTCTGGGGTCTCCTCGCTAGCACAGCCATCCCCACAGCTCCCTTGTCATGACCCCAAAGCCACACAGAGTGGCCAAGACGCGCTACCGCCCCCAACAACAGCTGGCCCGGAGGATAACGACATGGAAGAGTTCTACATCTGAGCACTTCCTGTTTTTCAGGCAATCAGTCACATAAACTCCAGCACCACTGCCCCACCCCATCCCACCCCCACCCCCCC